AACGAAGTGGCACTTCGGAGCAGGTTACAGCCTGCGTCTGATTGCTCAGCCTCTTTGAAGATCCTTCGTAAAGTTGCGGCCTCTGCAGCTCATGCAGAGCCCATCTGGCCCTGTCTTCGTCCACTCCCTCGCATGCCTGTGTCCAGCCTTCTGTTGTGAGCTCTCTGGCGAGCATGCTTCTGCACGTGGGACTTGGCCTCTTCCACTGGGCAGTGTGAGGAACAGAATTTGGATACAAATCAGAGTGAATGATGCTGATTTCAGCATAGCAACACATTGAAAAAGAAGCACTACTAAAGCTCTGGGGAAACTTTATAATTGGCAGCATTCAGATGTATATATATATATATATTGCTGGAGGTTTTTGATATTCTAGGAACAAAGTTTAAAAGTTTTGAAAAATTGATTTTTTTACCAGTGAAAGAAGCCAGTATCATTTCCAACAAAGCTCAAAAGATGCCACAGTATTTTTTAAAGACAGATGAAATGAAGGATGTGTTTGGAATTCACTCCAGAAAGACCCTTTCTCGTAGTTTCCAGGAGGCCACTGTGGGTGACCGTGAGATAGAGACATGCTTTGCTGTGTCTTTTGAGCCTTGTTAGGGGGGCCCTGGGGCAGCCATAGGGTAAAGCACCCCATGGCCCCCCTCTCGTCTGTGTGTCTGGGGAGCTCTGCACCATGGACTCTTCATATGGAAGAAAACTCATCTTAAAAATTCATTTTGTGCACCTTGTTTGGGGGGAAAAAAGGCTTTAATATAAAAGTACAGCAATAGCTTTGTGGCCTGTTTAATCCAATATTTGATACTGTCAGTGTGGGGTATTTTGAGCATTCAGTACTCCAGCCTATATTTTTATAAGCAGGTTTTTCAGGTGTGAATTTTTTTTTATATTTTATTGTCACAATTAATAGGTACACATTAATAATGATTTAGTACACTGTGATTTTTATATTATCAGTGGCAGTATTACCACATGCTTGGATACACCTGGAACTCTCCATTTACATCATCTCTGGATCTCCAGCAACTCACCAAGGGTACTGGGGGGCTGCCTGACTGGTTGATGCCATGAGCAGCCATGGCAGCCCAGCTGGCTTAAAAAACTTTATTTTGTTTTTAATAATTACAACCATTTGTCTTGAAAAACAATTCAGTAGCTTTCCAGAGAAGAACTCAATCATGTGCTTACCTGCTTAATCTCTGGCACTGCATTTGCTTCAGAGATCTTGTAAAAAAAATTCTTGGTTTCAGCAGCATGTTGGAACACTTTGCTAACCTCCCATTTAAGTGAAATTTCTGTGGCTTTGTCTTCTGAACTTGTGCTCACCATGCACTCCATCAGATTTGAGTTGGTTATCACACATCCATCACAGTGTTCCACTCAAATGATGAAGGGAGGTGAGCTGTTGAGCACCAGCTGAGTAGTGATTGGGTTACTCAGGCCACCAAGAGACGCAGGCTTCCTGAGGTGCGTCTTTCATCTGATATGAAGAGCCTTGGCTTTCTTGTTTGCTCAATGATTAAAGGTGTCTTATTTTGTGGGGGTCACTGTATCTTTATTGTCATGAAGGTTTACAGATAATCGGGTACTTTAACTTGGACTTTTTCTTTTTTGGAAAAGGACTGAACCCTTACCCAGCATCTGCTGGGGCAGTCAGCGGTGCCCATGATGCTCCTCGGGATGCAAGAGAGAAGCACACCAGAAGGTACCCCGAGTCACGTTGGTAGTGTCTGTGACCAAGGTGTTGCTAACTTGTGTGAAACTGGGTTGAAGTTTCAAAGGCTTCATTAGCTCCGTGTCTCCATTGTACAAGATCACAGGAGCACATGGAAGCTCTTTAACGTTGGTTTTCTCATGTAGCTCTGTTTCAGACAGTGATATAGGTGCTGGGCTTACCGGCCAGGCACTAGAAGCAGTTAGCGGTGTTGCCATTTGCTTCTACCAGAGAAGGTTGAAAATCTGAGGAGAGTAGCCAAGGATATTGCTCAGCCATGTGGAGTCAACCCTGAGATTGCCCAGAGTATAAACCAGCTGTACATTATCACAGACTGTCCTCACCTGGATCTTAGTTCTCAATGCCAGCTATTTTGAAAACAGCCATTCTGGTTCCTAGTATTAAATTAGATGTATCTATAGGTGTGAGTCATATGCTGTATTTTGAAACTGCACCCTTTGGTTAAATTTGTTTAACTGGTAAGAAACACCTGCTTGCTGAAATCTGACTCACTAGTGTCTGAATGTTGGATATGACTGGGGAATGTTATAATTTTAATAAGGAGAACATTTTGCCTATATTTTTGTATGTGGGTTTAAACATAGCCCCAGTAAGTTTACTTGTAAGAAGCGTTATAACAACATTCAGCAAAGAATGTGTCTCCTCTCTGAGAGTTTCAACTGATTGCTCATTATGCAGACTTAGCTAGCTATGGGCAGGCATGTCTGCATTGAAGGGTAATCTTTCATTTGTCTCTTGTCCAGCCAAGATGCAGATTTACCTGGAAGTTCCGGAGCCCCTGAAAACCTGACATTCAGAGAGCGTCAGCGCCTTTTTTCACAAGGTCAAGATGTGTCCAATAAAGTGAAAGCTTCCCGTAAATTAACAGAACTGGAGAATGAACTAAACACAAAGTGAGGAGCGGCACAGGGCAACTATGTGCACACAGATCTGCTCAGGGGTCACAGGTGGGAACCTGAAGAAGAGGGGGGAGGCTGTGTTTCTAAGTGATTTCTAATTTCAGATTCTAAAGTGGTTGTAATTTAGAGATGTTCAAATTCCAAGAAATTTTATTTTGCTTCGGCAAGAAATTGTTGTTTGTACAATTTGAACCCTGTCTGATTCTGAGTGATCTCACGTGAGGGTATCTTTTTGTTGGTTTATTTTTGGAGTCCTGGCCTCATGGGGCAAAAAGAAGAACAGTCAAGGTACTGTCTCCCTGTCCTGGTGCCACACACTGTAGACCAAGAAGTCTCTTCCTGGACTTTCTTGGAAACTTCATTTTGCCCATGACCCTCAGATTGGCTACCCCGCCCTGCCTGCTGTGTGCGCTCCATTGCCACAGCCTTTTAGGATCGAGGGTGGACGTGTGGACTGCTCCTCTGGCCCCTTCGGGGTACGTTTCCAGTTGCCGCCTTGTCTGGGCCACGCAGTAGCCTGGACAGCAAGGTCCTGTGAGCAGAATGGCGCACGGCCCATCTCACCCCACAAACAAGAGCCCCCAATCAGTTCTGAATATTGGATTAAATTAAATTTTTGATTAATATTTGATTTCTAAAATTCTCAAAGAAGAAAATTTTGAGGATTTAATCTTAGGAGATTTTATTTTTATAAATACAGGTTGTTGTTAGCCTAATAAAAATCATTGATGAAATTGAAGATGACAGTTATTCTAGAAGGTTAACTAATATTTCATATATTCTAAGGAGTCTATCAAAGATCTCTGTAGCTGAACAGTGTTGATGTAACTAGGATCAAAAATGCCTGAGAAAATGGGGATATTGGTAGGTGATCCCCAAGCACAGATGTCACTAGAAAATTTAAATCTGGAAAACGAATTTACATTGATATTCTGTGAGAAAGAAAGGAATTCCTTGACTATGCCATCTGCAACTGGAGTATTGCAAGAATAATTCATGGCAGTTTGAGCTTTGTTTTTTATAGTATAATAGAGTTATTTAATTTTAATTTGTGAGTTCTGAGTTATCACTGTCATTTTTTTCAGCTGTGGGTATATGGCTGATGTTGGGGAGACGGACCTCAGTTTGTTTATGTTGTGTGATGTTAAAATGGTAAAATTTTTTGTGATTTTAAGCACATTTCCTATTTGACAAAGCCCTAATGGGGTCCAGATGATCTTTCTGTACCATATTGTTCTCTTACGAAGATGTATGTTGGGAAAATATGCACACTTTCAAATAGAACAGAGGCATTTGCTGCCCTAGAAACCACTTTAATATGAGTTGTATGATAAAATGTCCAAAGTACAAGTGTAAATATTTTTTTGTCTATCAGGGTTCTTATTTGAAAGTGTGCTTTCTCCATTCCCCCTGTAAGTAAGAGTCGAATGGTCCCGAGAGCTGATGAAGGATTTGCACACTTGCCCCGGAAAAAGCAAGCTCCTCCTGGTGTCTCAGGGGCACTGGCGCCTCCAGGTGGCAAATCCACACCTTGCCTAGAGAAACACGGGTGCTGATAACTGCCTGTCACACGTGGGAGACAGACACACACAGCACGAGTGCAAACAGGGATATTTGTGTGTTTGTCAAACCCAGACAAAGGTGGATTTGGCCATCCCTGGACGATGAGGTCAAATGTGAATATGTGTAAAAGTGCTTTTCATGATGTGCATTGCTATGGGAAAAATCCAAACTGCTGTAGTTTTCCATTTCTACTGTATTTCGGTTGCAACCTATTTTTAATAAACTTTGTATGTATTTAAGTGTATTCACTGTTGTTTTAAAAATGCTGACAGAGTTTATATTTCTAACAACAGCCCTGTCTCCCTTGCCTCCATCTGTCACTCATGTTAAACAATGCAAAACGCTGCTCCCCTGTATTTTCCACCTGTGGGGACATGTTCTTTGCAGGATGAACAAGTCCACTGAGGCTCAGGTGAGTTTCATAGCGTCCATGACCAGAGTGCTCCTTCCCCACCTTGTCACTTGTTTTGCACCTGAGCAATCCCAGGTGGCCCCTGGGACCATTTCTTAGTTAGGATGCCCCATCCTGGCCACTTTGAAATTCCTAAACACATCCAGTAACGAGCATTGTGTGAATGTTCCTGAGCTGTGTTTAAATGCAAGCACCCAGTTGAGGCAGCTGGTGAAAAGGAATGTGCGGGACTAAAAGTGTTTTAAGTCCGTGTTGAGGAACTCCCACTGGCCAGGAGTGAGAGCAAGCCCCACAGCCAGACCAGGTTTGTGCAGACTGTGCCCGCAGGGCCAGCCCTGCCCTTGCCCCCGTATGCCTGAGTGTGTGTTCCCCCCCCCCCGCCCCCCGCCTGTCCCCGGGGTACCTCTTCTTCACTCACAGGTTCCTTTATGCTTCATAGCCTGTGAGCAGAGGTGCGGAGCAGGCGGCGCGGAGGGTACAAAGGGCTTCTAGGAGAGTGCGAGGGAGGAAATAGAGGGCCAGAGGACACAGCTGCAGACAGGCAGGAGTGACTGCTGTTCTGCTGCACAGTGGAGCAACTGTGATCAATACTGTGTTTTGAGACAGGCTCCCATGAGGGAAGCAGCGTGTCAGGGCTGGGAGAACTTGTGGGAGGCCTTTGATGGCAGAACTGGGTATTTACATTTCTGAGTCATACTATTCACTCTTACTGTATGCTAATGCCTGAAAAGATACTTGAAAGTTTGGAGAAAGCAAGTCTTGGAGACTGAGGATTAGTACTGATTCCACTCCATCTCACAGCCATATTTCTCTGGAAATAATGACTTTGACCTACAGTGTTCCTTCAGGTCTGAACCACATGAAGTAGCAGCAGGGTCCTTGATAATTTCCTACTGTGTACCATTGGACAAAAATTTCCTCCGTGTTTTACTGGACAGAAAACTAATCCAAAGGCTCAGCCATATATTTAGGGTAACAGTAAACAAAATCTAAGTCAAGTTACTTGCAGAAGGGAAAATGTGCCCCCAAATGGTCAACACTTTTGTATGCTGGCATTTCATCTTGTGGATTCACAAAGTCAGTAACCAGAAGGGTGCATGTTTGCTTGTTAGACTTCAGACTGGGATGTGGAAGTCATTTCTGTGTGATGTTCAGTGAAGCTTACGGGTGCCAACTGGTCAGAGGTGACCCCACTTCCCAAACTGCCCTGGAATGTAGTTCTGGCGTGGCTTCGTTAATATAAACACGCATTTAGTAACCGAACTTTCAGGTGGTGGACTCCCAGAGAAAACAACCAGCTTTCTTGAGAGGAGGGCACATTTGCAGGTAGCGGGTGGCACAACGGACCAGGTGTCTGCACAGTCAGTAACGCTCCGCAGAGCGGCCAGTGCCAGGTGGGAGAGGCGGACCTCGCAGGCCATAGTGAGAAGTTCGTGCAGCGGGCAACCCCAGCCAGGCAGAAAAGGTGTGAGGGTCGCCCACAGTATCCAGAGAGCCCTTGGAGAAAGGAGTGGGAGTGGGCAGGCGGCTCCTGCAGCCAGGGTCCCTGGGTGCCCCGTGGGCCTGCTTACCCCGCCCCCAGGACCGTGCTCCCCTGCTTTCTCCACCCCTCCCATCAGCCGGCCCCGCGCGCTTGCTGTGCCCCGCCCCCACCCCTGGTGGATCCGCCCCTGGCCCCTGGCTGGTCCGCCCCTGGCCCCTGCTTGCCCCCCTCCACCTGTAGGCCTGGATCCCTGCGATGAGGCCTGCAAGTGCAGGTGACACCGGCGAGTGCTGCGCCCTATGGGGCCTCGCAGAGCGACGAGCACAGCAGCTGCAGCGTCAAGTGCGGGTGAGTGCCTGAGGGGCCTAGCGGCTGGAGCCAACCCCTCACCTGGGCGTTGGGGGCCAAGGGAGAATTTGTGGGGTTCATGGATTTCATGGATCCGTGAAATTGAAGATGGGCCAAACACACACACACACACACACAACCTGGCTTGCAGGACAGAAGGGGTCGCTGGCCTGTCTGCCCTCCCCCAACGGCTCCTCATCTCCAACTCAACCTGGGCCCCTCTGCCCACCTACCCATCTGTCCACTCCCCCTCTGTCCTCCTACCCTGGCACCACTGTCCTTCACACAGCCTCTTCCTCTTCGTGGAATGCCTGCTGCATGCTGTGCAGCTAGCTGCTGGGCATGCCTGATTAGGAAGAAACAGGCATCACTCCTGTCCTTATCCCCATGGAGTCTGCAGTGCAAAGGAAGCAGACTGATGAAGCAGTTTAGAGAAATATAATACTGTGTGGCAAAGACCTCAAAGACCACCCCCTGCCCCCGGGAGGTAACATAATGAGACACTGAGAGGCCAGGAAGGTCCCCTGTGTCCTGATGGCTGAACCATGTTCTGATGGGGGCTGAGCGTATAGAAAAGGCTTCCTGTGGGGACAGATATCTGGTGGCCCTGGGCTGGATGGCACACAAAGCAGTGGGTTGCCCAAGGACCTTTATCTCAATGCCAAGGATACGCTATCAGAAAGATTTTAAGAGGGAAGCAAGACATGATCAGATCTGTCACTTTGTGCAGTCATGGTTCAAGGGTATGAAGGATCATGGAGGTCACTTGAGAAGGCCATTGCAGGCAAGGACTTCTAGGGTGAGGGTGAGGAGCTCTGTGGACCTGCTGTAAGCAAAAGTGAAAACCGTAGGAAATAAGTGTTTAAGGCCTCTGGAATCATCCTCAGTAAACGCATCAAACAAGAAAGCATTCAGTAAAGACAACGTGCTAAAATTTCCCCAAATCATCGAGGTCTCTGTGTTCTGCCTCCCCCTGGCTCAGCTTCACCAGCTCCTGTGTCTGGGGTGACCAAGAGGATGGGATCCCCCTCCCTCAGCTACCTCAGGGCAGTCACATCCTGAGGGCCAGGGAATTGGGACTTCAACATGTGCCTTGGAGGGAGGGCAAAGCCAGCCCCTAAGGAGCCACAAGTTAAACTATAGGCCAGCTTGGGTACTAGAGAGAGGTAGGGAGATGGCTGAGGAGAGCCTTTCTGGGTTTAGGATAAACCTCAAAGACTGGATTTAAAAATTATCACTGCCCCCAGTTTCATTGGACCAGATGATCTTGGAGAAATCTATGTCCCAGGTCATTGTCAACATCAATAGAGCAATCAGTAATTAAGGGAGTTTATTAAGTGGGTGTTGTAAGCAAAACAACCAACACTGTTCTGCACCATTACGAAAACACAAGTAACTGGGGGGAAGCAGACCTCAAGTGGGTCAGCAAGCAGTCAGCCAGGCACTGGTGGGGCTCATTCTGGGTAGGAAAATGGCCACTGCTTTACAGAAGAGTCTTGGGTTTTTACAGTGAGGGTGGTTTATCACTGGAGACTGAAGCAGCACATGTTGGTTTGGACAGTCAGGAAAGAAGCTTAAAGAGAAGTTGAGAATGCCACTCATCGTCACTGGGAAAAGCGCAGACTCCATGTTCACTGCTGATCTTCTTTATCCAGGATTCATCGTCTCCCAGAGCTTCACCGTTGGTTTCTCTCTTCCAGAACTCATCGGCAATGGGAAAGGGGAAAAGCCCAGGACGAGTGTTTCAGTGTCTGCCTCCTCCCTTCAGGACTCCCTGTGGTTGGGAAGGGATGACTGTTTGCTTTTAGAGATGCTGGGGATGAAACCGGGAAGGGATGAGAGTTTGCTTTCATCGTGACTGAGAAAGGCTTCCCTGGGAGAGATTAATGATCTTCTCCCTCTTCCTCTGGGCCAGACAGTTCTAGGGGTTGCCATTTTCCATATCTTTCAGAGGTGAGGCCAAGAAGGTCCCCTGTGTCCTGATGGCTGCTTAACAGAGGGATCAGAAAATGAGAGGGGCAACAAGCCCCACTCAGACCACCACTAACCCAGTGTGGCCTGGGGGAGGTCATCAGGAGCCTGGTAGAAATTACACAATCTTAAAAACAGAGATAGAAATAAGTTGAAGAAAAATGAAGAGAACATCAGGAATAGATGTGAAGCCTTTAAACACATCAACCTATGTATCATGGAGGAACAAGATGGAGAGAAGAGACAGGAACAGAAAACCCCAAGTGTGCTGAAAAACGTGAACCTACAACATCAGAGAAGCTCAGTGAACTCCAAAAGTGAGGTAGATATTGAGATACCCACCCACGTGTCACAGTAAACACGATATGATAGCAGGAAGAGAGAAACCAGTGGTCAGAGATTCTAAGAGGACTTGATGCTGACTCCAAAAACAGTGGAGGCCAGGCAGGAGGGCATGTCCACAGTACGCCAATAAAAAAAAACTTCTCAACAAAAAAAACCTGACCCAACAGAAATGTCATTCAAAATGAAGGCAAAAGCAAGTGTGATGGTGTACTCCTGTAACCCCAGAGACCCAGGAGGCTGGGCAACTTAGTGAGACCCTGTCTCACTAAAATGAAAATAAATCTGGTTTCCTCCAGGGACAGGGACATTCGTCAGGATGAGTGGGTCAGTCTGTCAGGAAGACATAAAGCTATGGATGTGATGGACCTTACCACAGGGCCCTAAAATAAGTGGAACAAGAACTCGGCAGTCAAACCAAGAAATAGGCACTTCAAAAATAAAGGTTGTGAACGTCGGTGCTCCACTTTCCACAGGGACAGTGACAGCACAGGGACCAGCGAGACCCGAGAGACATCCCCGCAACACGCACAGCTGAATGTATCTGCCGAGAGAGTGCCAAGTGCATGCCGAGCGCCGCCGAGTGCTGGCCGAGTGGGGCCGAGCGCGGGCCGAGAGGGGCCGAGTGCTGGCCGAGTGGGGCCGAGTGCGGCCGAGTGCGGGCCAGTGCTTGCTGAGTGAGGGCCGGCATAGGCAGCACACCAGGCCTGGTGCCAAGCCCAGGCAAGTTTGAAAGAATAATTGCCCGAAATCCGTTGTGATCACACTAGAGTAAAATTAGAAATTAATAACAAAAAGAAATTTGAGAAACACAAATATGTGGAAATTGAATAAGACACCCCTAAATAACCAGTAGGTCAATGAAGAAATCACAAATGAAATGAAATGAAATGATTTGAGACAGGACACATGTATAAAACTTTGTATTGTGCAGCTAAAGCAGTGCCTGGGGGAATTATAGCTGTAAAAACATTAAAAATAAGGTAGGCCTCACCAGGCACGGTGGCACATGCCTGTAATCCCTGCAGCTCAGGAGGCTGAGGCAGGAGGATGGAAAGTTCAAAGCGAGCGTCTGCAAAAGCAAGGCGCTAAGCAACTCAGCGAGACCCTTTCTTTAAATAAAATACAAAATAGGGCTGGGGATGTGGCTCAGTGGTCGAGTGCCCCTGATCAATCTCGGTACCCCCCACCAAAATAAATAAAAAAGAGTTCTCATAGCAGCAATCTGACCTTCTACCTTAGGACACTGGATAAAGCAGAGCACATCAGACCCTAAGTAGGGAGAAGGAAGTAAAGAGGAAATGCATGAAGCAGAGAACAGCAAAACCACAGAGGGAAATTAGTGGCAAATGATTACAATCAGCTTGGCTGGCTAAAAAGAGAGAAGACTCAGATTACTAACATCAAAAGGTCTCATTACTACCAAAGTGATGGGGAAAAAGGATTGTAAGAAAATACTGTGAAAGTTGCCAAGAAATTAGACAACTTAGGTGAAATGGTCAAATTTCTAGAGACACACACTACCAAAACTGACTCAAGAAAAAACAGAAAAGCTGAGCAGAACCACTGTTATAGTTCAAGCTTCGTCCCAGGGTTTCATAAACTGACTTCCAGACCACTCACGTATCATCGAATCAAGCCTTTATTGAAGCACACTGGTGGCGGCTGACCAGAACATAAAGCTGTTCCCCTGATCAGCCCCGAACAATAGCAAGGGCACTCCTTATAAGCCTGAAAACCGCAAAGGGGATGTTCGGGGGGTCAAGCCAACGCAAGCAAGCCAGGTTACAGAAGCAGGACAGTGCGGCCAAGCAGAGGGAAGCCTAACCAATCACAGTTAGCCCAGTCACCCCAGTTACAGAAACAGAGCCCATTACCCTAGTTACTGAAACAATACCCCATTAGGTAGTTCCGTGTTCTTAAAGGTTTCTTTAGCAAAAGGAAAAGAACATCTTGCTCCAGTCATGACTCTTCTACTTGGCATGGTTGTTTTACAGGATGAAGTCATGAAACAAAATGGAGTCACATTTGCTCCTACTATCACACCACAATGAGTAAAGAGGTTAAATGAGTTACCAAAAAACTCGGAGGACCCCAGGCCCAGATGCTCTCACTAGTTCACCAGTCCCTTATAGGATTCACAGCTGTCCTTCAGCCCCTTCAAATAGGAGAGTGTTGTACTCCATGAAGCCAGCATTGATTGAGGTCAAAGCCACACAGACAATCCGGGGAGAAAACCACAGAGCAGTATCTCTTATGAACATAGATGCAAAAATCTTCAACAAAATACTAGTAAAATGTTCCAACAATGTATAAAAAGGATTATATCCTACAACCAAATGGATATACTCCAAAAATCAGTTAATACAGCAGATCATATCAGTAGGATAAAGGACAAAACTCTTCACCATATCTCAAAGTGTTTGACAAAATTCAACACCCTTCATAATGAAAACACCCAACCATAGGTCACAGTGGTATTGGGGTGGCCAGCACCCCCACAGAATAGGTTTCTACCAAAAGGCGTGAGCTGCCTGGGAAAATTAAAAAGTCTGAAATAATCAGTAAGAAATAAATTTTAAAAAGTGGAACGCCTGATGAGTCTTCCAATCCTGATGGGAACTGGAGCTAAATAACTTTTGAAAAAGGCCGGATTATTTAAGGGGGAGTACATCAAAGGCAGGTATAAGGTTTCAGTGGGAGGAGTCTTGTTTTATGCTTGCTTCTCGGTCTGGGGTCTTGCAGTAAATAGGTTGATTGGCATTTGACAAGCTATACCCATCTCCTGGGAGGCTGTGCTATAACAGGGCACCAAAGCATTCAGATGTTCTCAAACCAGTTGATTCCAACTGGGACTTCCTAAAACCAGCCTTCCCTGCCTAATGGCTCTGTTCACACATGGCTCATGGATGGCTTCCCACACAGTGGCAACCCAGAGACTGCGGAGGCTGAGGCAGAAGGATCTCAAGTTCAAGCCAACCTCAGCAATTCAGTCACCCTCTGTCTCACCGCTGGGGCGGTGGCGGCAGGGGGAGGGGGGTGTACCTCAGTAGTTAAGTGTCCCTGGATTTAATCTCCAGTACAAAAGAAAAAACCAAAAACTACCAACTAGGAATAATAGGGACATAGTTGACCGGGGAGGTGTGGGGCATTTGGAACTCAGAGCCACATCACACTGTGTGGCAGAAGATGACTGTTTCTCCAAGATCTAGAGCAAGGTCAGCACATCCCTCCTGAGCCCCGCTGTTCAACACTACTCTAGACATGCTACTCAGGGTAGGGGGCCGAAGAAGGCAAAGTCACCCACCTCAGAGAAGGAGTAAGGACATCTGTATTCACAGATGGTGTCGGTAGAAAATCCCAACGAATCCACTCTAAGTCTGCACTAAAACGTGAGTTCTGTAAGATTGAGGATAACAAGATCCATATTAAAAATTGTATTTCTATGCTGTAGTAATGAAAAAATTAAAAATTCAGAAAACAATTTATATACAGTATCATGAAAGTATCTATGTGGGAAACATTTAAGCAAAGTGTATCAGGTTCATAACTTTAGTTTATATTGCAATGGAACATGTAGATATGGTGGGATCCTGGAATGAACTGTGGAAATATTCTGAGGATTTTTATAAGAGGTAAAAAATAAATGGACATAACAATAATACTATAGATAATTCTCAGGTGTCATCAGGTTTGTGTCACCAATCAGAAAGTTTAGAATTACAAGCAAGATAGTCCTAAAATAATCGCAGGTTCTTTGCGACCTGCTTATCAGCAGGCTTGGAGGTGGAGGAATTCCTAGCAGGAGGGCCTGAGTCCCCCTAGGAGGTTCCACCTGCCAGCAGGACTTCACCAGCTCACTCCTGTCCACTCTTCTCCAGTTTCCTGATCTTGCAGTACTTAGTCTAAGTACCTAGCAAACTCTGCTGCAGTACCTCCAGGGCTCTTCTCTCCGTGTGATTAAATGCCCATTTCTAGCTCCTCTGGCTGCAGACCCCACCCAGCCAAGCGCTGGCTGCCTTTCTGCAGTCACCTCCTTCCCCCACGGGTCCCCACATCACAGAAGGCTCTTTCTCCTTGATGTGCCAAACTCCTCAGCCCTGTGACTGGGTACTGCCTTTCCTTCGGCCACTCTGCCCACTCCCATCCCTGCCAGCCCATCTTCCTGAGCACCCTTTCTGACCAGAGGGAGGGAGGGTCCTGGTCCTGCGCTTGTAGCCCACCATCAAGTGTTGCTGCAGCAGTCTGGGGCTGCCCTTGGGCAGGGAGGGGTCATAGGTATATGGGTCGTGGGGAGGGAGGCCAGGCCTGCTGGCAGAGGAGCCTGCAGTGGAGTCCCCCCGACCCCATGCTGGCGACTCCTGCACTCCTCAAAGGCACACCTCTCTGTTCCTGTGTGTGCACTTACTTCCTGTGACTTCAGTTCACCCAGGAGTGCTCTGGTGACAGTTTCCCTTTCTGGATCCTTGTTGGTAGGTCAAAGAAGAAAGCATAGTTGAACTGGAAACAGAAAATGCTATTCTTCATCTGAAATTGGCAGAGGTAATATACTTAAATATCTTGAATTGCATCCAGTGATTTAGTGTTGAAGTCAGTTTTCAGCCTTTATCGAAGAAATAAGTTGAAAGTGACACTCTCTCCTTAGATCTTTTCTGTTCTCTGTCTGGTGAGGTGAGAGGAACTCTTCAGCTGACATTTTAAAGTATCTTCTTACAATGGAACAGGTTATGTTCCAAATTCCTATTTGTCTCTGCATTCACAAGAATTTAATAAAGTAAGGATGCAGCTGAAGGCTATTTTTCTTTAAACAGCTTTAATTAGATTTAATGTATGTACCATAAATCCATCCACTGTGAGTTGTCCAATCTGTGTTGAGTAAATTTAGAGGCACTCAACTGCCCTTGTCTTTTTGTGTCACTATAACAAAATACCTGAGACTAGGTGATTTACAAAGAACATTGCTTTCCCCCAGTTCTGGAGGCTGGGAGCCCAAGATGGAGGCTGTATGGATCGGGTGTCTGTGAGGCCGCTCCTCCCGCTGGCCCAGCTAGGTGTCCTCCTACGGTGGGAAAGCAGAAGAGCAGGAAGGGCCTCCGCTGCTCCGTCCAGCTCTGCTTTTGTAGGGAACTGGTCCATTTGTGAGAGTGGAGCTGGGAACTTCATCACCTCCCCTTCCAAATGCCCCCACAGTGGGCTGGCCCCCCAGGAATCTTGGAGGCCACTGAAGCCACAGCAGCCAAGGCCTTCCAGCTGCAGAATCCCTGCGAGGGCCCTGGGTCCCCCCTTGTGCTCAGGAGCCCGCTCTGCTGAGCATCCTCCTGGGAGCCCTGGGAGCCAGCACCAGCGCCCGAGTCTCTGCCGTCTGCTCTCACGGCCTGACCCGCTTCCTGGCAGGTGCTTCCTGGCACCTCCAGTTCCTGGTGGTCCTTTTGGTGGCGAAAAAACACAACCTCCTGCCTCCAGTGACTCAGGGCGCCACTTGCTCACCCTTGGACTGGTCCGGGGTGCCGCCCCTTGCAGCTGCTCCCGGAAGGGCATCCCCCAGCACGACATGCTGAAAGTGTGACCGCTCTGCAGAGGAGCCGCTCTCAGGTGGACTGACCAGACTCAGCGTGGAGGGGGATCCTTCCTCAGCTGAGGCCAGGCAGCTTCTTCCTCTCCCCCTCTTCCCCTCTCTCTCCCTCTTCCCCGCCCTCCTCTGCTCCCTCCCTCCCTTTCTTTGTGGTACTGGGCACTGAACCCAGGGACACTCTGCCACTGAGCCACATCCCCAGCCCTTTTCATTTTATTTTGAGGTAGGGAGGGTCTCTCTAAATTGCCCAGTTAGCCTCAAACTTGTGATCCTCCTGCCTCCGCCTCCCAAGTCTCTGGAATTAGAGGTGTGTGCCATAGTACCTGGCTCTCCTGTTTTCAGTGTCCCCTCTCCTGAGTCAGGTCCAGCACCCTTGCTCCACTGACAGCCTCTCTCTGCGCTTACTGGCTGATTCCTCGGCCTCCCTGGCGGCAGGACAGCCCAGCTCACCTGTCCACTCCCTGCTCCTCCACAGTCTTTCCTTCCTGTTACCTGAAACCAAATCACCCGGGCTCTCCTCCAGGCTGCTGTCAGTGCCAGCTACTCTTGTGCTAGGTCCTCTGAGTCTCTGTCCCTCATGTGGTCAGCAGAATGGACTTCCTGATTCCTCTGGATATAGGAGTCAGTCCTGTTAGAGAGTTTGTTTTGCTTTAGTTTTTTCTTCACCCAAACGAAGAGAAGCCGTTAGCTGCGAATGCTCCTTTACTCCAGTGTCCACCGCAGGCTGCCGCACGCGGGGCAGCCCGTCTCCTGTGGTGCGCGTTGGCCTGCAGGGCAGCCTGGTGCGTCCCCCGGGCTCCCTGCCCTGGCCTTCTACTGAACTTCTGTGCGCTGGTGGACAGTTCCACGGAGCAAATGGACTTCCTGCCTCGTCTGCCCCCCGCAGACACCTCTGGAAATCTCCCTGCTGACCCGGCCCTCCCTCTCCCAGGCTTTGTGAGGGAACCTGTCCACTCACCTGGGCCCAGTGCACACTGTGCCAGCAACTCAAATTCTGGTTGGCTGGGAGTCCAGGGCTCTGCCTCCCCTAAACGGTGAACTCACACCCTCTGGGTCACCTCCCAGAGGCCCACCAACAGGCTCCCTTCTCTGCCCCTCTGAAGAAGACGCTGGGGGTCCATCGCGCCTTCCCACGGCTTTCACGCTCTGCTGGAATGCGTGGTGCCTCCTCCTGTGAGTGCAGGCTGCGGTGTGTTTTGGGCAGTTAGCCCCGTGTGGCTCGGCCTCAGGTGGCCCGGCTTCACCAGGATGCACTGCTGGTGAGGGCAGCTCCACAGTGGACGCCACAACTGAGGCGAAACCACCTGGTCCTGCCTTGCGCTTGCTGTTGGAGCATCCTCATGCCGGTCAGAGGTGCAGGCCAGAGCCCAGGACTGGGCTGGCCCCCACCTACACCCTGGCCCGCCTACCAGGCTGCCCCAGTGCTTCTGCCTCCCTCACCCTCCCTGCTTGCTTGGAGGCTTAGATGGCTGCCCAGGGCTGCGAGGGTCCTCTCCTTCACCCCACCCCTCCCCGTGAGAGTCCAGAGTGGTGGGTCTTGCACCTGTTCTGAGAGCCCCGCTGCTGGGTCCTGAGAGCTCCTCAGGGGCTCATGGGCCTCTGCACCTCATCCCTCCCACTCCTGTCCCTTCTGGGATCTGCCTGGTGGCCTCTTCCTTGGATGCTGGCCTCTCCTCTCTACCTGGCCAGTGCCCAAGGGCTCAGCCCTGAACAGCTGGGTCTCCAGCAGCTTCTCCTGACCCTGCCCTACTGTGGGCCAACCCACTGCCACTGCTCTTGCACACAATGTGCTGGAACCAGGCCTCAGGGCAACGGCACCCGCTTCGCTCTAAGACTTTCTGCCCTCTTTCCTTTCTCCCTGTGCAACAGTACCAAGGAAGGGTCAGAGGGAGCCACTTGCAGGCCATGCAGGTTCACACTCCGCGCGGAGGAGGGCAGGGAGGTGTGCACCCAGCACTGGCCCAGTCCTGGCACCTGGCTCAGGTAGGCATCGCCCAGCTACACGAGAGAGCAGATCCAGCATGCAGGGCTCATTCTGGGGGAACCGTGCAGCCTGCCTGTGGGAAGTGAGCCCCCCACCCCGGGGACGAGGGAAGCTTGAGCAAGCAGAGCTCCTGGGGCTGGTGGGGTCCCTGGGGGCCGCCGGCCCCGCCATTCACTGCAGGCACCTCTCCCTCTGGGGCTTCCGCCCTCCAACTTCACTGAACAGAAAAGACCTAGAAGCCCATGTTGGGATTCTGACCAAAAGTGGGAGCAGAAAATTCGCTTTGGCCGGGGAGTGGGTGGCTGAGGCGGCTGCCGGGGTTCAGCGTGGTCAGGTAGGGTTGCTGTCTCACGGCCGCCCGGGGAGGCGAGTGTAGTGTGCAGGGTGAGGGATGATGGCCGTGGCGTCCATGGTGTCCATGGGGCCTGCCTCTAGCACACTGCTGGAGGTTTCTAGAAAGAAGGAAAACTGCTAGTCCATGAGCATGTTTGGAAGTCCTCCAGGGTGGATATTTCACTACCTCTGATTAGGAGCATTGTTCTGCCTTTTGTTATAAACAGGGGGACCAGGGCCAAAATCAGGAAGAAACACGTCATCACAACAATGCCACACCATCTGCAAATGGGATCAGTCTGCGCTCTGTGCTGGTCACATCCAGAGACTTTTAACTTTTTTTTTGTACATTCAGAGTGGATTTATATAGAGTTTATTTTTAATTCTCTTCCATTTGAGGAAAATCAATCCATCTCTGAAAAGTAGCTCTATAATTTATCTGTATTCTATATAATGAAATAGTTTAGTTCAGTTTAGCTTTTATATTCCATTGAAGTGTTCCCTAAGCACATGAAAGAACTTCTCTCTTTTTATAGAAAAAGAAAGGTGTAGCTGAGAAGCAGAGCACTGCTTGGGCCAGGTGGGCGTCACGGCCTAGGAGAATTTGGTGGTGGCCGCTCACCAATTTGTTTGTCAAACTGAAAATCCTTGAAATAAATCCAGGGGAAAGAGCAGATGGAGCACAGGATACCGCCGCGACGTCCCCCACGCTCCGGGGATGCTTTCCTGCTTACTGTCCGGGGATTCTGTTGGAGCACAGTTCTGAAGAGCGGTCCTCACTGGCAGGAGCCCATGATAATGGGGCTTCCAGAGCTGGTCTGGATTGTCCATCAGGGCTTTGTTCCCCTGGAGGGGACACAGAGATGAGGATTCTGCCAACACTGAAGGGCGGTCAACAAAAGGCCAGGGGGAGTTCCGCCTCCAAACAATGGGCGGCACTGCTGCGGAAATCGGGACAGACTTGAATCTCTATTTTGTGAGTACTTGAAAGACACAAACCACTCAAGTCACATGAGCTGCTTTCCCAACACTGGTCCAAGCCTGTTGAACCAGGGTGTGGCAGTGAGGGCACCCCAGGTGCTGCTGCAGGCCCCGATGGACTCGGCTGGCCGCCGGCTGGGGCTGGGGCTGGGGCTTGGGGACAGGAGCGGACGATGACTGGCTCTGGGTCATACCACAGTGGGGATGGTTACAAACCGGTTGTGCCCCGTGTGTGTGCTCTCCTCCCGTAGAGGCTTAAACAAGATGTGAAGGAGTTCCGCTCTTCCGTCCTGGAGCTTGTGGGCAGCTGTCAGGAGGAGTGCCAGGCCCACCTCTCTGCAGCAGCGGCCGCTGTGCAGAGAGCACAGCTGGACAGTCAGGCTGTGCAAGGTGAGGTGCCGCACTGTGCGAGCCGGACCTGCTGGGAGAGGCCTGCCTGGGCCCAGCCCCCGTCTCTCCTAGCCGCCCACTGATGCCCATTCGGGGCGAGGAGAAACGCTGTCTTATATCCTGGCTGCTGCCCCCCCGACCCTGCGGCCACCGCCGTGGGGGTCTCCTCCTCCCCTGTCACGGGAACAGTGACTCTTGCCCGTGGCGTTCCTGGTGCACAGAGCCTGCGGGCACGTTAGCTTTCAGAGTCGGATTTTCCAGAGATGGGTGGAATTCCTCCTTCCATGATTCCCCAGCCACTGGACCGCACCTCCTCTCACAGGGGCTTGTCTTCAGGGTGGTCAGCTGCGCGGTGTCGCCTGAGTGCAGGGTCACGCTATCCACTGCAGTCCACATCCTGCTGGTCAGCCTGAAGACAACTGGGCAGGGCTGTGGGCGACGACCCCTTCTGTGATTCCCAGAGTGTGAGGGGCTGCGGCCCCGCTGCCGTTCTGAGGCATGGCCGTGCCGCGCTCAGATGGCCAGGGGCCTGCGCAGCGCACGGGGTCCGCCACGCCCTAGAGAGGACAGTGTGTCTGCTGCTTTTGGGTGTGTGTGTGGTGTGTGGGCACGTGTGTGTGGTGTGTGTAGGTGTGTGTATTAGGTGTATGTGGTGTGCGTGTCGATGTGTGTAGGCATGTGTCGGTGTGTGTAGGTGTACGTAGGTGTGTGTATAGGTGTATGTAGGTGTGTGTAGGTGTGTGTGGTATGTGCACCTGTGTGTAGGTGTGTGTGGTGTGTGTGTGGTGTGTGTGTGGTGTGTGTGTGGTGTGTGTGTGTAGGTGTGTGTGTGGGTGTGTGTAGGTGTGTGTGTAGGTGTACGTAGGTGTGTGTGTGGTGTGTGTAGTTTTGTACGTAGGTGCATGTGGCGTGTATCAGTGTATGTAGGTGTGTGTAGGTGTGTGTGGTGTGTGTAGGTGTGTGTGTAGGTGTGTGTGTGGGTGTGTGTAGGTGTGTGTGTGGGTGTGTGTAGGTGTGTGTGTAGGTGTACGTAGGTGTGTGTGTGGTGTGTGTAGTTTTGTACGTAGGTGCATGTGGCGTGTATCAGTGTATGTAGGTGTGTGTGGCGTGTCTGTCTGTGCATGGTCTCCCCACTGGAGCTGACGGGAAGAGTCCGTTGCTTAGTTCAGAGGGTGCAGAGGGTGCAGCTCTGGGACCCCAGGGAAGGCCGAGCGGGAGCCAGGGCCGTTCCCTAGGGAGGTGCTGATGTCTGGCCGAGGTCCCAGGCTGGCCAGACACCTGCAGCCTATGCACACAGACCCCCAGGAAGGCCCCTGCCGGCTGCTGGCCCACGTCCTGTCCAGGCGGCCAGCTTCCCAGCTCCTCCTCCCCTGCAGCTCAGCGCCCATCAGAGGTGAAGCTTAGACACCACCTGGTGTCAGGCAGTTCATCCCGCACCTCAGACAGGACGCGGTGGGGAGCAGGCCTGCTGACGGAGTCGGGGTCAGCTGTGGAGACCTTTCTGCTCAGGGGGCGGTGCCCCCTTACACCTGTGCTGCCTGGCTGGGCACCGAGAGAGCACACTCTGCTCTAGCCTTGTGAGTGGCCTCCTCCCTGGACATTTGCAGCCAGGCCAGGTGTGTCGCTGTGGGCACTGGAGCAGGCCTGGCTGCTGCTGACCTCAGGCCATGACAAGACTCCATTCCTGCGCTGGACTCCACGTGGGCAGCAGCCATCATGACAATGGCCCTCTGGGCTCCTGGGCATCCTGGCTTAGCTGCGACTGTGCTTGGCCCCAGTGTGTAGTGGACAGTCTCCCCTCATCCCCACATCATGGCCAGAGGCTCTCTGACTGGACAGGAAGTGGAGGCCCCAGGTCAGCCCGGCAATGGAGGAATTGGAAACCAGACCCCACCTCCTTTGCTGCAGGCTCTACCCACAGAGAGGGTCCCCGGGAGCCTCGGGACGTCAGGAGCAGGCCTCCAGGACTGGGTCGTGGTGCAGGACTCCTGGGCAAGGCCCCTGGCCGTGGTCCCAGGGTGTGTCCCATGTGGAGAGCTGCTGGCCTCTGTGAGTGGCTACCTCTCTGCTAACAGAGGCGTTTAATCTGCCAGGCCACACGGGTCCCCCCTGCAGAATCCCCGTAACCTGGGTCGCACTGTCCTTCCAGCTTGGCGGTCAGAGGCCCTTCGTCTTGAGCAGTCCTTGCAGGACATGGAGGAGCGCTGCCACCGGGAGAAGCAGAGGAGGCGGGCCCTGCACAACAGCCTGCTGGTGAGCGCCTGCCGCGGCTGCCGGGCTCCGCCACTGAGGGGCTGGGCCCACTGAGGCCACAGCTGGGCGGGAGGGGACAGAAAGTCAGAACACTGTGGGAATGGGAGGGACAGCCGGGGGGGGGGGGCGGGCACAGGGCGGAGAGGTCAGCTGAGGTCAGTGCTGGGCTCCAGTGTCCTCCCTCACCCAGACACCACCAGCCACTCCGGTGCTCAGTCAAGAGCAGGGGCCACCGAGGCATGGAGAGGTGCTTGTCCCGGGCCACACAGTAGCCATGCTGGGTTAGGCTGGGACCCCGTCAGCCCCTGAGGCCTGCAGGGGTTGAGCTGATGTGAGCTCAGGAAGGAGAGGGGTACTTGAGAGCAGGACACCCCCAATTCTCCCCAGCTGGAGAGCTCAGAGGTCTGCGCCAGGGTGAGAGGACCCAGCTGCCCTTCCTCATGGCCCTTAGCTGCTTTCTTCCAGCCCAGTCATGAGGTTCCCCGACTGCTGCTTCAGAGATGAGGGGTCTGAGACTCCGGAGTTAGGACGGTTCCCCTCCACCATGGTGAGGCGGCCAGGGCGGGGGGTCTGCTCTGGACCTCCTCTGTGAGGTCTGACTGTGCTCGCACCGAGGCTGACGTCTGAGTTCCAGAACCTCTTGCCCATGAAGCCTGTGCTCCTGAGGGGTGCTCGGCCCTCACAGAGGTGAAAAGCTCCACTGGGCGTGAGACACGGCTGAGGATGATTCTGGCGTAGGGGCCATCTGTGCAATCCAGTATTCAGGAGTCGTCTGTCGGTGCTCAGGGGCCAGCGCTCCACAGCACTGTGGTCCTTCACCTTACGTAACTGCCGTGCTATCTCTACCTCTCGGGGCTGCTGGGGACAGCCTGGGATCTAGTGAGAAGGGCTAAAACGCACTACCTAGGGTGGACACAAGTCCAATACAGAAGAATCGATGGCGCACGATCCTGAGTCTAGAATCAGGATCGTGATTGGACCTGCTGCACTAGCCGAAGGGGCCCTTCCTTGCCATGGGCACTGTGCAAACAGGACACTGACCTCAGCTTCGGGAAGCTCAAGAAGCTGGAGATCCGTCTACAGTGTCACTTACCTGGTTCTCAAGCAGTAGGAGCAGCCGTATGGCAGAGCTGTTGGACTTGCTCACCATCAATCAAAGACGAGGCTTTAGAATGGAGTGCTCAAAGTGTGTGAGCACTTAAAGAAAGCAGGGTCGCTCCCTGAGAGCAGCAGGAGTTTACAGGAATGAAATGTTCAGGTATTAAATCAAGGAAATGTGGCGGGTGTGGAGTGTCTGGTCTCAGCCAGGCGCGTGGGGAAGCACTGCGTGAAGTATTTAGGGTCAGTTTCCAAGCAGGAGCTGCTGCCTCTTGTCAGCACGGTCACCCGCTTACCCAGCACCCGGGGAGAGAGGAGTTTTCCTGTCCCCAGGAACCCAGCAGGGGCCAGGCTTCTGCCCTGGTGCCCAGCGGCACCCTGTGGCTCTGTCTGGCTCTAAACATTAGGCCCTAATGTTTAGGACTCAGGTGGGATGTAGAAGGCATGGTTGGGATCTCAGAGGAGATGCGGGTTTGGCTGGTCGCAGATACCTCAGCGGGCCAGAGCCACAGGCTGAGCCTGACCTGGGTACCAACTCCAGGCACAGTGTGGTGGAAGGACGCAGGGACTCCCCATGGCAGCACCCTGCTGAGCCAAGGCCAGATTCCAGTAGACAGACACATGTTGTCCCTGGTCCCAGAGAAGAGCCAGTGCAGGGCTCTGCCTTGGGCCTGGTCCCTCCTCACCCCGCTCCTCTGCCCCGGGCTGCACCAGTGCGAGGGTGGCGAGGCCCTGTACTCTGCAGGTGGAGTGACTTGCTGGTCTCACTGGCTCTCACTGCTCTCTGTCACCTCCCCCCATCAAAGGCTGTCTCTGCCGCTGCTCCGGGGACAGCCCCTTCCCAAGCGGGCTTCTCCCCACAGGGCTGGGGCTCGGCGCCCTTACAGGCATCTGCACGTGTGCATTTCTAAGGGCTCTCTTGCTTTCCGATTTCCATGATTCAAAGGGGCTGGGAGAAGACGATGCTGCCTTCGAGTCAGGTCGGGAGTTCTTTGGGTACAAGACACCTGATTACCAACCACTGGTGGCCTGACTGACAGTCCTCGCTTGCTGTCAGTGCCAGGATCAGAGCTGCCAAGCCAGCGAGAGCATCGCTGGGCTGCACCAACAGAAAGCACGTGGGTCAGGGTGGTCCTCAGTCCTGCTCTGCTCTGGCAGTGACCCACCACACCTGACCCGTGCCTCTCGGTCTGGACACCTCACCCAGAGAAAGAGGAAACCCGACTGGGTAGATTTTAGCCATTCAGGATGGTGCTGGGACTCAGCCATGAGCAGGGAGGTCTGATGGAGGCGGGTGGAGAAGGCGGAGCCTGGAGGCTGCCGGAGCCATGTGCCAGGCTGACAGGTGTGCAAGGGGCCCACAGCCACAAAGGCAGTGGGGAGAGGCGTCAGGCAGAGGGGCAGACAGCCTCCCAGCTGCACCTGCACTCAGCTCTGCTCACTCGCTCCCCATGGGCAGCTGCGGGCTGCCCCTGCCCCTTGCCCGCACAGGGGCCCACATTCCTCGTCCACCCTGACCAACCTCGCCATGACGTTATCCAGGCGAAGCCTCCGGAGGGCCAGGATGATGAGCAGAAGAGCCAAATGTCTCAATTTCCCCTAAAATGCCCAGTGCACTTCACCTGGGATGCACTGAAAGGCCTCCTGTGGGTTCTTCTGCCAAGGGCGGGTGGTCTGCCAAGGGAATGGATGGGTTAGGTTTGAGTCAGAAAAGCCTGGGCTAACCCTGACCACGCGCTGCCCCCAGGCCTTCTCCAGAAGTCAGGACTAGTGCAGTGACTCCGTGGATCACCTGGGAAATGTCCCCAGTGCACGCCTCGAGGGGGTGGCTCCTGTCCCCCTGTGGCTCACAGCCGTGTCCACAGTGGACATCATTGTTGCAGGAGCTGAAAGGAAGCATCCGAGTTCACTGTCGGATCCGTCCCTTGCTGCCCTTCGATAGTGAGTGGAACAGCTCGGCTCCACATAGCAGGTGACCCTACACTCGGGGCATCGTCTTCGGCCGTGTGTGGCTGTGTGTGGCCACGTGGGGGTGTTGAGGGAAAAGCTATAGAACTGGCAGGAGTCTCCACAGCCTGGCTCCCCAGCCCTGGCCCCACAGGTGCTGCTGGTGTCCGAGTGGAGGTATCCCTCAGGTTGGTGCTCCTCGCCAGGCAACTAGACCTGGGGACAGAGCTTCAGAGTGGCTGAAACCCCCGGACCCCCACTCCCCAGCCTCCCCTGCCTCTCCACCTCCTCTGCACTTGTCATCTGCTTCCTGCCCCCTAGTCTGGCTGGTGTGGCCTTCCTGGTCTCAGGTCCCCCCTCTTCTGTCCACATTTTACTCCCCTCTAAGGACCTGCCTGGTCTCCTGTGTTCACCTTGGATGACTGAGCGCTGGACTTCAGGAAGGCCTCAGGAAGCACGAGTGCACCTTGTGGACTGGGAGCATTTGTAGTTTGTCAAAGGACCGAAAATAGGGAAAACAGTGTAGTGGTGACCCTGACATGTGACAGCTTCTTGGGCCTGGCTTCCAGATGGTCCTTGCCTCAAGGTACCAAATGCAGCTTTCTGTTGCTTTGTCATCTGCTCTGGGCGGCCCGTCACCAGTCACTGATGAGATTGAACAAATCAGAAACTGAGTTCCTCGGTCGCACTTGCTACCCTGAAAGTGTGATGCGGCAGCTCAGACGCAGGGTGCCCCCAGCAGAGCAGGGCCCGTGGTGGCCCCTGTTCTGAATCATGCAGGAACAGAAGAAATAAAAAGCGAAGAGTATAGGGTAGAAGAAGAGGCCAGAGAGGACAAGAGACGTGTGTGTGGAAAGAGGGACACGTGGACGCAGGAGAGGTCAGGGAACACCCGCGAGGAGCAAGAATGAAGCCAGAGTCCAGGGAGTCGGGGGTGGGGAGGAGCCAGGGAGAGAGCAGGGGACACCGCGAATTCAGAAAGAAAGCATGCTGCCGTGTGCATTTTAAGTGTCGTTTGTCCCTACAGCTCCATCTCGCGAGAAGTGGCCCATGCACTGGATGATGTGAGTAGTCCCCAGTGTGTCCCCACGTCCTCAGGGACTCTGGCTCCCAAGGTGTCCTACCGGGAGGGCAGCTTCCTGCAGACTCTGCTGTTGGGAGGGTGGCTTTGCCTACTTTCTGGGGGAGCAGGTGCTCTTGCTCCTGTGCGGGTGGCTCCTGGCTTAGGTCCCCCAGTGCTTTGCGTTTGCAGCCTCAGAGCCCAGTCTCTTGCAAACTGAGCATGTGGCAGGTGGGTAGGTTCAAAAAAGTAGAGCATTCAGAAAAGAGACACAGGTACAAAACTAAAAGCAGTGAAGTCAAACATGAACTTTGTAGTGTTAATTGGAAACAGACCTGATTCTGTCTCTCCTTGAACCCCTCATGCTTCTCAGTTCTACCCCAGCGATGCCTGGAAGTAGCTCTGAGAAGATGCACGCTCTGCTCTCCAAGCACTGTGCTCCTCAGGCTACCTCATGGGGCTGGGAGGGGACAGGGTGAGCCGGGGCCACCTTTGCTGGCCACAGGGGAAGTACCCAAGGCTGTGGCCATGTCCCCAGAACACAGAACCATTTGGCACAGTGGGAAACGAGGAGCTCAGGAAATGGCTGAGCAGATGGAAATACATGATCATAGTTAAAAATTCTGAGTTCATAAATATTTTCTAAAAAAACTTCATTGATTACTTCCGTAGGGTGGTAGATGATCAATTCATTATTCTAAAAGTGTGGGGAAAAAAGAGCCAAGCATTTACGCCGCCCTGGGTGTGAGAGAGGTGGTTCAGGGCAGTGAGTGGTGGTAAGAAGCGTCTTCACAGACGTTGGCTAACCAGTTCAGAGCCGACGCTGAGAGGTGGCTCTGAAGCCCCTGGAGTGGTGCCTGGGTCACAGGCTTCAGTGGCCGCCGTGGCCCCGGGGGCAGCAGGGTCTGCACAGTTGGAGGGACGCCCTGCACCTCTGAGCTCTCAGAGCTCACTGCAGACATGGTGACCTCGTGACGGGGGGCGAAGTCGACAGGGCAGCCACCCAGGGCTTTCGCTGTAGCCAAAGCTGCCTCTGGACAGGTCCCCCTCCGTCATGGTAAAGGAGAGGAAACACCTGACCACTCCAGAACGTGGGCACTTCACTGGATGAGAGTCGGGCGTCCCCAACAAGTCAACAACAGGACACTGAAGCTGCACGGTGCACCCCCTGGGCCCGCCCTCTCGAGCAGGCTCACTGGAGGACAGGGGGGCCTGGGAAATGCGCCTGTGCCGGTGCATCCCAGGCAGGACGCCTGTCCCTGCAGTCTGGGCTGCCCGGGTGTTCGCTCTGCAGGAGACAGCTGTGTGGAGAGAAGCATTCAGGGACACTGCAAGAGGTCCATGTGACATGGGGGCCCTTGTCGGGAAGTGGAGACCAGGCATGGCGAAGTCTGGTGCTTTTGTACCAGGCTGAGCAAAGAGGAAGGGCGGGAAGACCCACGGGGCGCAGGGACCAGGCCCGTTCGCAGCCTGCTCGTGGTCTCTCCCGCCTGGGTGCCCTCTCTGGAGAGCGCTCCTCTCCTCCCAGCAGGGGCTGCTGGTGGGGATTTCATCTGCTGCCTTGGAGGAGAGTGGCTCAGACGCTCTCCTCTGCCTGCCTTCAAAGGAAAAGAGCCCTGGTGCCAGGGCCAGGGTGTGGCTCCGTGGTAGAGCGCCTGCCTTCCTTGTGTGAGGCACTGGGTTCAGTCCCCAGCACCACATAAAAATAAAACAAAGAAGAGAAAGGTATTGTGTCCATCTACAACTAAAAAAATGTTAAAAATAAAAAGAGCCCTGGTGCCAAAGTGAAGCATTTGGGGGCAGCTGTCCGCCCTGCTGTGGTTTGCATGCGGCTTAGGATGTTCCCAGAGTTCACATGCTGGACACTTGGTCCCAGTGTGGCCTACTGGGAGGAGGAAGGGCTTGCTCAGAGTCATAGACCCCATTGGAGGGACCCTGGTTAGGGCCTGTGAAACAAGAGTGGGTTTTCACAAAGAGCCAGCCTGGGCCCTGGACCCCTCTCACTTCCCATCTTGCTGCTCCTCTTTTCCCCTGCCACATGCACCCCCACGGTGATGCCATCTGCCATGTTGTGAGTAGCCAGAAGTCCTCACAGAGGTCAAACTGAGGGGCCAGCTGATCTTGGACTCCTAGCCCCCAAAACTGTGAGCCAAATTAAGCTCTTTTCTTTATACATTGCTCAGCCTCAGTTATGTTTTTATAGCAACATGAAATAGACTAATGCAGCCACCTCTCAGGTGACATTAATTTTCCAAGGTCTGACTACTCGCATGCTAGTTATGCTTTAAAAAGCCCTTATTGGTTAAGATATGGACCGTGGGCTTTACAGATGAATCTAAAACATGCTGAGAAAAGGGAGGTAGATTGTGCCAGAATGTCCTTAAAAGAAGACCGCCCTCGTGCTAAGTGTTTTTGAGGCAGGACAATTGGATTTTCGTGTTGAGCTTATGCTTCACTCCAGCTTATTATGACTACCAAAGAATGCATTCAGGAAACAAGTGAGATGCTAAGCATGTAATTAATGTGGGTAACGCTGACTGTCACCTGAAAATCTCAGTCATGTGGGTTAGAATGGCCATGTTGGAGCATTTCTAAAGTCTCATCACTTCTTGGAAAGGCGGCTTCGTCTGCGTGCCTCACCGTGTTAGCATCCTGAGCTTTAGCAGTCCTCTGTGGTAGTTAATGGTTGATGGGATGGTTTCTCACAAAGCGGCCAAGATCATTGTCACAGCTGCATCAAGAAGTTCACTTGTCTCCGGAGGGGACACTTCCAAAGCCCTTGAGGTGGCTTCCCTTGTCCCTGGAGGTCCCTGGTTGCCTCCAAGCAGTCATACCTTCACTCCTGGACTTGGGTGAGAGGGACCCTGGCCCTGGCCTTCCCTCCCCTGCCTCCCCAGCCAACCCTGTCCCTGCGGCCCAGTCTGAGGGGCCGTCTGCCTGTGGACATTCTGGCCAGCCTTGAATTTCTGGTGAGAAGATCCTCCTGAGCCAGAGGCCGGCAGGCAGTGGCCCACCCCTCCAGGCCCCGCCAAGTCCCACTGAACCTTCTCCCTGGGACGCCTGTCTTTTCACGTCTTACCCAGTCTAACAAGGTAGCATTTCTTTTGTCGGGGGCGTGTGGCTCAAGTTTAAGAATCACTGGCAGGACCCTGGCCTGCCCGCTGAAGGACTGCCTGTCACTGGGTTTGCTGGAAGAGCCAGGACTGTGTGACCTGCAGGCTCCCAGGCTGTGCGGCTCTCCGGGATCTGGAGGTCCAGGCTGGTGGATGTGCAGCCAGCACTCAGCCTGCGGTAGGTCTGGATTCGCCCTAAAAACACCATCGGTGTCAGCTGGAGAATCTGGGCCCTGCCTCCTGCTTGGCGGCCGCCTTGCTGGTTATTCACTTGCAGTTTTTATTTAACGTTCATCTCCTTGTTGATGACCAGACATGGGAGAGCAGAGTTCGGGCTTTGTGTCGAGCTCCTGCAGACTGCTGCCTAGGATCCCTGTTACTGCCTGACACCGACTCCAATTTCCGAATGTAGCTGGTGGGGGCTGTGGGTCACATGGCCTGGCCACATCTGCCATGGTGTGAATTGCATTCTGCAGAGGGGCTCGAGGGGTCAGCGGAGTGACACACCTGAGGACCGTCTCTCATGGCCCGAGACCCTGGGTCCTCCATGGACCGCTTGATCTTCTCTAACCCTGCTCCTGGCCTCAGACTCCCCTAGTCAGTCCCTGGGCTTGTGCAGAAGCAGGGGCACAGCCGCCTGCCTCCTCCGTCTTCCTTCTCCAGACCCCTCTGAGCTTCAGACCACGCATCCGGCAGCCACTGGCCTCCCATCTTAGCATGTGCGCTTCCCAACCTGAAGACGTCCAAAGCGGAGCTCCTCATCTTCTCTGTGGATCCACTGTCCTTGTTTTCCCAGCTCATCACATGGAGACTCCAGGCGCCCTGACGGCCACATCTGATCTCCAAGTCCTGTGAATTCTGCGGTGAGCGCTCCCACGGTTTCTTTCCTGCCAGGCCACCCTCTCCCCTGCCCGACTGCTCCTGGCTTCCTGGCCGGCCTGCTCACCTGCCCAGCAGCAGTGTCCTTTCAAATGCAACCTGGTCACATCATGGTCACACCCACTCCTGGCCGGAGCCTCTTCAGTGTGTGCTCGTGGAATTCCGCGGCGCCTCGGGCAGGACCTGCAGGGCTCTCACTCCATCCTGAAGGCTCTGCTCTGCCCGCAAGCCTATGGCCACCTTCCAGGGCCCTCACCCCTTCCACAGGGGCTTCTCTGAACCCCCTGCCATGGTGCCTTTCCTTGGCAACCTCGCTGCCCGCACCCCCAGCACTCGTGGTCTTCCCTAGACCAGTGTCTGCACACCAGCCTACAGGTCACAGGATTGTCCACCACGCCGACTGGCAGCGTCTGTCTCCGGAGAGGGAGGCCACGTCCCCTTGCTCACGACAGGCACTTTACATCACCCGTGCCCGTCAGGACCAGGGAGTCACAGCCCTGACTGTCACTGGATGTGGCTCCTGAGGGGGTCTTCTTTCCAACCATGAAGTGGGTCTAAAAGGGACTTCTTTAGGATCAAGATTTAGTTTTCAAATATGAATCACTTGTGAGAAACTGAAAATTATTTCAAGAACAAACGTGACTTTTACAGACTGTGGTCAGAGAGAGGCTTGGGTTTCTGTTTCAGGAGACGCAGGACGGAAGGGTCAGCTGCACCCAGCCGGTCCCCTGTGCTCAGCCTCCTCTCCTGTCAGCCAGTCTCGGTGTGCTGGCCCCCAAAGCACGGGTGAGACCCTGCTCACCACCTCTGTCTCAGGAGTGCTCTTCCCGCAAGGGCGTGCGGCTCCTCCCGAGGCTCCTCGTCAGGGCCAGCATGTGGCTGCCTGTGCACAGGCCGTCTTAGGAAGCCATCCACTTCTGCAGAGTGCCTCTGGAGTGTGTTCCTTTTCTAGTGGTAGTTCCTCATATTTTCTTGTTTCATGGATACTTAAGTCATAGACCTGTAGACCTAA